ATACGGCGCTCGGGAATATCAATGGAATCCGTCGTTCGTTATTGCGGACAATTTCTGCAGACTTCGTCGCACACCTGACTTTAATTTACTGTTTTCATTGCCACTTACCTCTTGCGACGAACACGTATCGAGAGAAAGTCAACGAAATTAACGAACGAAGAACGAAGTCGATCGCTGGGATGTATCGTCTATAGGAGAAAATAAAATAAGAAACGATGGGAACCGTTAAACACTCGATCGGTCGATACACGTTTCCAGCTAATATTTCCAGATGGATACCAACGTATCAAATCTAACCGATCTAACAACCATATAAATCTCGCTGGGAACAATCCCTTAAAACACGACGGCGCAACGAATCGAGAATATGTGTACGCGGGTAAAACGAAGGAAAAAACGTACGAAGCACGGGAAAACGCGGGCGAAAAATTCGAATATGTTTTACGACTATAGAGCCGCTCGGTACAAAAGCTGACCAGCTTCCCGTATTTTCCCGCGCGTCGTCGTTCGTCGAAATTCTAATTTCGCGCTGAAGAATATTTCACGCTACGGTGTGTGTCCTCTCTCTCTCTCTCCCCTTTCTCTTTCGTCCACAATTTTTCCTTTTTTTTTCCTTTTTTTTTTTTTTTTTTTTTTTTTGTTCACTCTGCCGCCAACTCGCGGGCTTCAAACTCGTTCGTCGTAGAGCTCGCCAGCGCGATCGGGCTCCGCTTCATTGTTACACGCTCCCCTGTGCACCCGTCTATTATTATTATCGTTTCTCCACGCTATCGTTTCGGGACCATAAACAAGTCGGCGTTCGTCGCACAATGCCACGAAACAATGGCCGCGACTGATTGATCCTTAACTTTTAAAGTGGCGCCGGCTAACGCCGCGCTGTTGCAGACCGAAACCACGGACCACGGGCAAACGCGAACGAACACGTGGCTTAGGTATATATCGTCGCGTATCGATGCCTGCGAACTTATCCGAATGCGTTTTCAATTTGCATACCGTAGAAGGCACCGTGGCACGCCATTGTCGCGTTTCGTCCGTAGGCGCCACGCGCGACAGCACGTTTGTTCCCTTCGACGTCTCTATTATTCGCTAGGCGCACTGTAAATCCTGGCCACGAATATTTCTCTCTTCTTCTTCTTTTTTTTTTTTTTTTTTTT